CTTTCCCATGTGCATATATGTTAGTATTATGGTTTTTTTTGTTGTTACCTGTAGGTTTATGCTCCACATCAGTCTTGTGCCCTGCTTTTGAAAAAAACATGTCTTTTATAATAAACAACTTCCCATATCATTAAATACCCTTCTAAAAGCCTATTTTAAATGATTGTATACCTTTATATGCCCAGGCCATCATTTCTACAGTAAATCCCTCATTATTAGACATTCAGTCTTTTTCTTTTTTTTCTTTTTTTTTTTTCTTGGCTGTTACAAATATTGTTGGCCTTAAATATTCCAGACCTCTATCTTTTCTTATTTTTTCAATCTTTGCTAATTGTTGAATGATTATTCCTTAAAATATAATTCTTAAAAATGAAATTCCCACAAGTCCTGAAGATAACAAATGGTATAAGCATTTTTAATGCAGTAGATTAGATTTAAAACTATCATGGCTCTGCAAAGCATACTCTTAATAGAAAAAGTGCTTAGAGAAATAAAATCACTGTTCTTTATTTAGATGTACTCTATTACACATTTGAGCTTTCTGTGTTAGAACTTCAGTGAATTAATTAAAGGACTTATTTCAGAATAAGGTGCTCTCAAAATAATTACATTTTTTGTTTCTAATTTTCTCTTAATGTTAGATATTTCTTAAGAGTGTATAGAAGTTTCAGTCCTAGATCTGCTTTTTTTTAATTTTTCAGTATCAAGAATATTATTTTCCAAAATTAATAATTGAATCAGCATGCTCTTACTAGATTGTTAATGTGGGAATTACTATTTTCTACTGTTTATTTTAATATGTCTAGGTTTCATTCAGTGGTCACAATGGGTAATATTCTGATGTGCTCTCACAGTGATACCTTGTAATGTAGGTAACCCATGTAGCAGTTACTCCAGTGAGTTGGAAATTATTTTCATCAGGGATATTTTAATGAGTGCATATTTATTTTATATGTGTCACATATATGTAATACATATCATAGATGTATTTCTCTGAAATGTTTTGTCTCTAGCCCTGGCAACTTAGTCTGAGGGATTTGGCATTGAGAGCCTATTGATCTTATTTCTCCACTACAGTAAATAGGCAGAGTTCAATTTAAGAAGCACTGGCCTCAAAGGCTATAAATTAAAGTGAATTTTAAAACTGGTAAAAGGAGTTGCCATGAATGAGTTAGCCTTTAACAGTTTAATGGTAATATTTACCATCTGTTTATCTTGTTAATGGATATTTTTCTTTGACACACTTAACTAAAATTTACTGTAAAGACTCATTTTCAGTGGTGCATAAAGACTTCTGACAGAGAAAGTAAACTTTTCAGTTTAGATTGTTTTCTAGCAGTGCTTAAAATTTTTGTTTGCACTTAATGAACATACTCATGAATATCTGCTTTTCCACTGGAGCCTGATTTTTCTGCTACAGAAGCACAAGGCTAGAAACCAGTCTAAATTTCCTTTGGTTTCATCTTCCCAGACATGAATCACATATCAGTTAACCTGGAATTTTAAAATACAGAAATTTTTATGAGTTTGCATCCCTTTCATTTTTCTGTTACCTTTATTATGATTATCGATTTATGTTTCTCACTCTTGCTCTGATTCTTGTGTATAAACACACACATTTTATATATTATTCTGAAATATTTCAAGCGTATATGTTAAGTGTTTTTAAAATGGACTTGATTATCTGAATGTTAGCTTTGGTTTCTCATTAAAGAATTTTTTTTATAATTGAAGATACAAGGTAAATTTCCATTTTTATTCCTTAGCATTATTGTTGTTATAAGCCTCTTAAGGAATGAATAAAATTTTATGCTCAGGAACTTGATTTCACTGATAATAAATTTCATCTATAATAAATGACACCATGATAGTTTTTCTTGAAACAGTTTTTTATGCATGTTCTTTATTTTAAAAAAATCCCCCAAATACAGAAATACTTAGAATAAAAAATATCAGTCTATAATAATTTAATCTCCAGTTATTTGCCCTTGTACTGTCCAGTCCTGTCACTGTCGTGTATCCTTGGTAAAAAAATTTTCTACAGATGAAGGTCTCTACCTTAAAGAAAAGCCCCATTCACACACCCAAAGTGGTTTAGATTTAGTTTCAGTTTTGATGAGCTTTTCCATTGCATTGACATAATCATTTGGTGAATTAATTCCTTGGAGTAAGACTCCACAGTAAACTGTATATGTATTAGAAGTCAGCTAACAGTGGGTATAACTAGAAAAGAAAATATGACAGTATTTTTGGACTGGCAAAATAAGTAATATTTTGATCTGTCCTCTGCTGCCCATATTTTAGTATAAGAGATTAAAAGAATTGGCCCAAAGTAATACAGTATAATCTCTGATCCAAGAATTATTAAAACTCTTTCAATTTTTTCTTCCCCAGAAGAGAAGCCAAAACCAGATCCAGTGTTAAAGTCTCCTTCCCCAGTCCTTAGGCTAGTCCTTAGTGGAGAGAAGAAAGAACAAGCAGGCCAGAGGTCTGAGACTACTGCAGTAGAATCCATACCAGAGCTTCCCCTGCCTCCATCACCTACCACTCTTTCTCCAATTGCTCGAAGTACAATTGCTTCGCCCACCTCTTCTGCTCTTAGTAGCCAACCAATATTCACCACTGCTATGGAGGACAGATGTGAACTCTCTTCCTCAAAAGAAGATACAGTTCCTATATCCAGCCCTACGTCTTGCACAGAAGCATCAGATCCTTCACCAACAGATGAAATTGATGATGATATATGCAAGAAATCTTGTAGTGTAGCACCTAATGATATTCCACTGATTTCTAGTACTAACCTAATTAATGAAATGAATGGAGTTAGTGAAAAATTACCAGTCACAGAGAGCATTGTGGAAGTAGTAAAGCAGGAGGTGTTGCCATTGACTCTTGAATTGGAGATTCTGGAAAATACCCCAGAAGAAATGAAAGTGGAGTGTGTTCCAACTCCCATCACCCCTTCCACAGTTCCCTCCTTTTCTCCGTCTCCTCCAACTCCTCCAGCTTCTCCTCCTTCCATACCAGTCATTGTTCCTGCTGCCACCACTAATGCTAGTACTGCTAATGCTCCCACCACAGTCCAGAGAGTGTTAGAAGAGGACGAGAGCATAAGAACTTGCCTTAGTGAAGATCCAAAGGAGATTCAAAACAAAATAGAAGTAGAAGCAGATGGGCAAACAGAAGAGATCGTGGATTCTCAGAATTTAAGTTCAAGAAAGAGCCCTGTCCCAGGTAAGCTGTTCTGCTATTATCTTATGTTTGCTGAACATGAAAAAGAAGCAGTGTTTGAGTTATTTTTTAATCAGCTACTTTCCTTGACTTCCAGAAACATCAAATGAATGCTGAAATTCCTAGTCTGATTTCTTCAGTGGTGTGTTTATGTTTTAGTGCATCCTGCAAAGAGTTACTCCATTGTCTAAAAATGCAAATGAAATTTCAAACATACAAAATGCCTCAAGGTATATGTCACTGTACATGTGTTTTTTGTTTTTAATTTTATTTTTTTGCCTCGTTCATTTGAATCTGTTCCATGGTGGTTAATTTTATTGCTTTGGGGCTGGAAACCAATCAAAACCATCATGGTCTATAGTCCCTAATCCTGTCTTCTCAGAATTTTAAAGCCTGGTATCCTAAACTTAAAAGAATTCCTCTATTCAAGGCCTATTCTTTAATCTTGGATTAAGGAAAATAGCAATCAGAATGTCAGAGGTTTATAATCAGTTCTGAAAAATGAAAGTGCCCTCTCTGATCAACTCACAGATAAGTTTAATACTTTTCCACTTTTTCATTTTAAAGTTTCATTCTTCCTAATATTCGTTTTACTGTTACTACTTTATCATTAGTATTATCAAAGTACTATATTCTTCCAAATTCAAAATAATTTCTTTTTAATGTAGCATCACCTAGAATCTTGAATCTAACCATTAGGTTTTAATAATTTTAATCAAAAGTTATCTAAGGTTTATCAACTATTCTTGAGTCCGTAGTCCATAAGAATATGGCTTTAAACAAGTTAACATAGCTCGTCTTCTTAAATATTGCCATACGCTGTATACTTTACTCTCTGTATACCTGTCAGGTTAAATTGTGCAATTTGATAAATGAGTGCTCCCCCAGCAATTGATCTAGATATACATTGGGGATGGTTTAGTCACCAGTATCCTCAGTATTTATTGCCTATTCTGACCTGTCTAATAGACAGGGAAACTTGACAAATCAAAAACCTGATCCCTACTTTTAAGATGTGGCTTTCCCACCCAGCTCAGTTCTTGAGGTAATTTCCTCATGAAGGTCTGTAGCAGGTGTTTGATTCCTTGGAACTGTAGAACATCTAGTTCCACAGTGAACCAGAACAGAAAAGCAAGCAATGCAAGTTGGAACTGGGAAAAATTTATCATAAATGTTTGTAAATCACCTATTTTCTCAACAGACTGGCCTCCATAAATATCAGTCTTCATCAGTGTCATCACTGTTTTAGGAATCTTCTTCCTTGGTGGGGCAATGACCTGGGGCTTTTTTGTAACTCTGTGAAAAAAACAATCTTAGTTTTGGTGTGGCTGCAGGTGAATCTCCTCCACCCACCCAGAGAACATTTGTTGGAGAACAGTAATTTGTTCTACGTTTCATTTTTCCCCTTAATTTACCCACCTGTCAGTTGTCATTCAACAACTAGTGATGTAGTAGTTCTAAAAATAGAAGAAGCTATTGAAGACAGATGTTTAAAAAACGAAAAAAAAAAGCAGGAAAAAACCCAAACAGGCGCTGGGAATACTTGTCAAAGATATAGACCATACCTCAGAACTGAAATAAGTGTAAAGCAAAATCCTGCACTAAAATTCTGTTACCACTCATCCCCAACATTCATTCATTCTTTTTTTCATTTTTCAATTTTATTAGGTAAAATTGTTACAGTTTGACTGCATATACACAGTATATTGCATGTAAATACATATATACAGTATACTGCACACTTTAAAAAAATTTACAGATAGGTACTATTCATTGTTTTTAAGAGCAGTTAAGAGTTTTAGCTTTTTAAACTTACATAGTTATTAAAGGAATAAAGCCAACCACAAGATAAGAATTAATTCAAAAAATACATACACCCCACTATTAACAGCAACATTCTCTATAATTGCCAAGATAGGGAAGCATCCTTAGTGCACATTGATAGATGAATGGATAAAGAAGATGTACTGTATTCTTCCAAATTCAACATAATTTCTTTTTAATGTAGCATCACCTACATATATATATGTATATGGAATACAATTCACCCGTAAGAAAGAAGGATATTTTGCTATTTGCAGCCCTTCATTCACTTTTTTTTTCACTTCAAAAACCAGAATTTTATAACTGGCATAAACATTTCCATTGCATCAAAAACAACAAAATATCTAGAAATAAACTTAACCAAGGAGGTTTCCTATACTCTGAAAACTAAAACTTTGATGAAGGAAATTGAAGATGATATAAAGAAATGGAAAGATAACTTGTGCTCTTGGATTGGAAGAATCAACATTATCAAAATGGCTGTACTACCCAAAGCAATCTGTAGATGCAGTGCAACCCCTGTCAAAGTACTCACGACATTTTTCACAGAACTAGAACAAACAATTCCAAAATTTATATGGGACCATAAAAGACCCTGAACTACCAAAGCAATCTTTTGTAGGTCTTTTTTTATTGTTTTTCTATTTCTGTTTTGTTGTTGTTGTTCTTTTTTCTTATGGTCTGATGACTAGAGAAGTTCCTTTAACAGTTTGTTGTAAAGCTGATTTGGTGGTGCTGAATTCTTTCAGCTTTTGTTTATCTGAAGCTTTTGATTTCTCCATCAACTCTGAACAAGAGCCTTGCTGGATAGAGTATTCTTGGTTGTAAGTTCTTCCCTTTCATCACTTTAAATATATCATGCCACTCCCTTCTGGCCTGTAGAGTTTCTGCTGAAAAATCAGCTGATAATCTTATGGGAGTCCCCTTGTATGTTATCTGTTGCTTTTCTCATGCTAATTTTAATATTTTCTCCTTATCCTTAATTTTTGTCAATTTGATTACTATGTGCCTTGGTGTGTTCCTCTTTGGGTTGATCCTGTGTGGAACTCTGCACTTCCCAGATTTGGGTGACTGTTTCCTTTCCCAAGTTGGGGAAGTTTTCGGTTATTATCTCCAAAGATTTTCTCAGGTCCTTTCTCCCTTCTCTTTCTAGGACCCCTATAATGCGAATATTAGTGTGCTTCATGTTGTCCCAGAGTTCTCTTAAACTATCCTTTCTTTTCATTCTTTTTTCTTTTTTCTGTTCTTGCAGTAGTGACTTCTAATCTGTCTTCTAGCTCATTGATCTGTTCTTCTGCCTTGGTTAGTGTATTCTTGGTTCCTTCTAGTGTGTTACTCATTTCAGTGATTTTAGTCAACTCTGTTTGGATATTCTTTATGTTTTCCAAACTCTTTGCTAAAAACTTCACTCTGTGGATCTATACTCCTCTTGAGTTCTCTGAACATCTTTGCCATCATCATTCTAAACTCTCAGATAAATTGCCTATTTCCTCATCATTTAC